GCAATTGGAGTACTGTGTCCAGTACTGGGCGCCGCACTTTAATTAGGATGTGGCCAGCCTGGAGAGGGTTTAGAGGAGGGCCACTGGCTTTGTGTGAGAGCAGCAGGACACACCGTATGTGGAGAAACTGAGGGACCTGAACCTGTTCAGCCTCGGCAAGAGGAGGCTGAGATGGGACCTGGTGGCTGCCTACAAACTCATCAGGGGAGATCAACAGCAAATAGGTAGAGCCCTTTTCTCCCCAGCACCACCCGGGGTGATGAGGAGCAATGGTAATAAGCTGATGGAGAATAGGTTCAGGTTAGAGATCAGAAGGCAATTTTTTACAGTTAGGGTGGCCAAAATCTGGAACCAACTTCCCGGGGAAGTGGTCCTCACCCCTACCTTGGGCAAATTCAAGAGGAGGTTGGAGGATCACCTGTCTGGGGTCTTATGAACCCAGCATTCATTCCTGCCTGTGGCAGGGGTCAGGCTAGATGATCTGTTCAGGTCCCTCCTGACCCTAGCTGCTATGAAACTATGAAGAACCCTAGGTTATCCTTGACATGTCTCCTGAGCCTTCTACTTGCTGTATCAGAGGAACCCCAGGTCATTCTGAGGTCAGGAAAAAGGCCAAGGAGATGTACCCAGGTCTGCTACAGACAAAATAAGCCCCTTCTATCTGAGAGCACCTGGGAGTAGCAGTTAGTGTGAGTGAAGATGGTTCAGCAATAGCCTTTTTTTCCTGCATAACCATGGAGACATGCCCTTTTGCTTCTTTTCAGCAGCAAATTAACTTAACTTCCAGTTTTCATTCTGTCCCTTACTCACTTGACCTTGGATCTTTATATGGTTTTGGTCACTTATTTGAGAGGGAATTGGGAGCTCAGGAGCTTTGTCCACCCTTACTCATAGACTTGACTTCAAACTTATCTATCAGGGTTCATAACTTGGAGCTTTTTTTTTGCTGGGACAGCAGGGCAGAGCCAGGTGAAACAACAGTTTATTTATCCCACAATGACTGCACCACATTGGTACTGCAACTGTGTTGTGCTTGTTACCTAGGCTGAACATTTGGCTTTTGCAGATATCAAACCCTTACAGTATCATTAGAGATCCTGTTTCTGGCTAGGTCTTGAATATAGTCAGGTATTGAAGTCTTATCTGATGGTCATCTTCAGTTTGAAAAGTGACCTCTAAATCAGCTTTCTCTCCACTTGACTTCATTAGAAAGGCTTCCATCAAAGGACTCCAAAAAGAGGACAGGTGTTTAAAAATGTATCTTCTTTCTATGCTCTTCTCCAGTAAACTCTGGATTTATGTTACCTTACTGAACTCTGTACTAAAGTTTTCCAGCTGTGTGCCCAGACCCAGAGCCTCATCTCTGAGAGAGCAAATATAGCCAGCTCCATCTAGCACTTAAGATCTCAGAAGCGTGTCTAAAATCTCTCCCAACTGTGCAGTAAAAGATATCACCAGAGAGATGATACTTCTGCATGTTTTGTGGACTATCACTGCTACAAAAACATAGTTTATATTGAGGTAGTTTTAAAGTGGCCTTTCTTTAGGATTGACCTGAAATTCCATCTTGGATCTGATGGAAAAACTTATTGACAGTGGTGTGGTCCTGTGACAAGGGTTTTTTTTGCTTTTTGTTTTTTTTTTGTTTTTGTTTTTTTTGGCCCCAGCGAACTGTCATGTTATGATCAGCTGTACTTCTAAACCACTGCAGAATATTTTAAATTCATGAAAAAGCCTTTTCACCTGAAGGAATCTTCTCCTTTCCTGGGAAACTTTATCTTGGTTTTTATTATCCTTTCAACTGACTTGTCAATGAAAATAACTTTTCTAGAGACTGTTCCTTTTCCTAGGAGAGTAGGAGAAATCCAGGCTTCCATGACTAGGAGAAATCCAGGCTTCTTTGATTACACCATATTCATTCATAAGAACATACTCTGTCCTCTTAGGTCCTTCTGCAAATTTCTTCCTTTGGTCTTGAATTTTTACCTTGGTTAGGCCACCTAATTAAACAAGGGTATTGTACAAGAGACCTAGAGAGGACATAGTCCTTTTTTGTAGAAAGGGGAAAAAAATCAACATAATCTAGACTGTATATGCTTCTGCAAAAAATGTTAGAAGACAAAATATGTCCAGTCAGAGTTGTGTGTTTCAGCTTGTATTCAGATTTACTGGTTCCGTCTACATGTGCAGTTAACGTGAAGCAATCAACTCTTGCATAGTTTGAGCCAGAGTAAACTATGCCCAGGTACAATGTCTGCACGTGTGCCCAGGACAGCAACAATTTGAGCCACGGCACAGCAGGCTTGGGCTGGCAGGGGGCATGGAGGGGGGTCAGCCCTGGGTCCTGCGTGGTGATATCGGAGGGGCTGGCTGGGGCAGGAGAGTGCTGAAGTGCAGAGCTGCATGGCTAGGCAGGAGTCTGGCCCCTGGGTGTCTGGGCTGACCAGGCAGAATTTACGCCCACAGTCAGCATCTACGCATGTATCTTATCATGGTAAATTACCCGGGCGTAACGTAGTACTGTCTTACAGCAGAGTTAATTTGTTTACTGCAGCATAATACCACCACGTGTAGGAGGTGATGCTTTACTCCACAGCTATCTACTCTGTAGTCAAGTGCACATGTAGATGCGCTCAGTTGGGCAGCTAAGAATGCATCCGTTCCTTTTAGTGCCCAGGTAGCTGCTGTCACTTCGTATATTTCTGTCAACTGTTATGCAGTGGCCTTTTTTACAAGCCGTTTTAATGAAGGAAGGAAGTAAATAGAAACTGCTTAACACCATTACCTTGAAACTGCTTCTTAGCCCATGTGGTGGTTTTTAATGACTGGGAGGTACCTTTTTAGGTTTCTTGTTTGCTTTCCTGCTTGCTCACTCTCAACCTTTTTTTCAGCAGTTATACATGGCGGTATTGAATATAGGTATTCCCAGGACCAGGATTACAGCAAAACTTGGAAGATTCAACCCTTACTGTTGTTTGTTTGTTGTTGGCAGACATTCATTTCCATATGGAAAACACACTGAAAACTAGTAAACTAGTACAGCAGAATAATTTGCCCGGCTGAAGTCTCAATGAGCAGCAGATAAGTCTTCTAGTCAGTTCTTGGCTTTTGCAAGCTTTTGGCTATCTGGGATCTCAGTTTCTGTGCAGACTGTGAAAACTGCATAGTATAGGGACCTGTTGTGTCATTCTGTAATTCTATTGATAACCTATATCAAGCTCCATCTTAATTTGTTAGGTTTCTTGTCTCCAGTGCTTCATTTCTCAGCTGTCATGATTAGAAATTTTCTGATTTCTAGTATAAACTTATTCTTAGCCTAGTTGTATCCATTTGTTCCTGTGCTGCTGTTGTCCGTAATTAATTTTAAAAGGGTATTTCCCCTTTCCTAGTGTTTACCTCCCAGGATGTATTTGTAGTGAGTAGCCATAATTTCTCTCAGCTTCCATTTTGCAAGGTTAAAACAAGCTATGCTGTTCTACATTTTTCATTTATAAAACAGGCTCACTGTCCCCCTATTCATCTATTAGGGCTTATGTTACCTTCTCCAGTTTGAATTTATGAAGAATTTATTGAACATGGGTGACCAGAACTGAACATAATACCCAGATGAGTTTGTGGTATGCTGTGTAAGCCTTGTAAGAAAGGCTTC